AATTCCCCAATAGCTGGCGGCCAAAGGCCACCCTGCTAATTGCAGTTGCCTAATAGCTAGATGCAAAACAATAGGAAATGCTGCAGTGCATAGTAGTTCTAACTAAAACGGGACCGCCAACCTTAGCAAGGGAGACCGGGGACCGCCAGCCTTAGGAAAAAAAAAAAGTGCTCCGCCGGGGGGGGCGGGTCGAAGTTAAGTTTGGTGGAGAAGCCCTTAGCCCGAAACCCTAAACCCAAACCCTTTAAAGACCGAATCCGAAGCTTTGTTGAGTCTAAGGTCGGTGCTCATGGCCTGCAAGCTTGTTCTGGCTTTCCGGTGCTTCTGCTACACCTTGCTTCCAGCTTCCAACCCATGGCTAGTATCTCGGTGTTCCTTATAGGAATCTTGCGTTTGTAGACAAACGAACGCAGGGCTTGTGAACGACATATCGGATATTGCTTTGTGTTGGGGCCATAGGAGCTTGTAGGTACTTTTGATTGAGCCTCTGCATGGCTTTACTTTCGCTGCAATGTGGTCAGCGACCGTGGAGTACGGCCAGAGAATCGCTCCCCCGGGCTGCGTGGCCCGCATGCAAGCTCTGGTCAATGGCATCTACTACCAGGTTGCTATGGGCATCGGCACTGCCATGTGGGGTCCTTTGGCGATGGCGCCGCCCAAGGGGCTGGGATTTCAAAACTGCTTTCGACTGGATGCTGCAGGGATTATCATCTGGGGCATCATCTGGCAGGCCGGCATCCTCATCAGACGCCGAAGCCAAGCGGCCAGGAGTGCTGGCGTCCCTGCCGAGCAGCCGCTTACAGAGGTCTCTTGAGGTGCGCAGGTCTTCTGAAACACACCAGAGAGTTAGAAACTCTATACCCTAAACCCGAGACCCCTAAACGCAAACCCTATACGTACCCGAAACCCTAAACCCCTATAAACCCTGAACCTTCCGTAGAAACACAGCAACCCTGCTAATGACCGTAGCCATCTTACTACTCCCAACCGCAGTGAATCATGAACATCTGCGAGAATAGCGACAAGTGCTCTTTCTTTTGAACTCCGAGCTCAGTCTTAGATTTTGCGAGGAGAAAGGTGTGCTGATGGAGGGCTCTGGCTTGCTGGGACTTTGGGCATGGACTTGCGTGCTACAAGCCCTAGACTTGGAGCCCTAAACCCGAAACCCTATAACGGAAACCCTAAACCCTAAACCCTAAACCCCTGAAGCGTAAACTTGAGAAACCCTAAACCCCCAAACTGTGAGACCCGCAAGCCGGAAATTCAAGAGCGCAGCTGGGTTAAGAAAAAGCTGATGGCCTTAGACCCCCCAACCCTGACTCCTAGACCCAAAGCCTAAACCCTAAACCCTTATACCCTTAAAGAGGAGCTTCAACCCTCAACCCTTAAAAAGAAATTTAAACCTAAACCCTAAACCCTAAACCCTAAAAAGGAACCTAAACCCCAAGAGAACCCGAGGGCAATCTCTCGGGAAGTTGCTCTGAGGTCAGCCGCGCGCCGGCTGGAGGGTCTGTCAGGGACCCGAGCTATCTCCAGGCCTCATTGGTTTGGGTATAGACGGTTTAGGGTTTAGGGGTCCAAGACCCTATTCTGGTTATTAAGGCCCCTATATTAGGCGATCAGGGCTTGTTTAGGGCGGGGTTTAGGGTCCCAGGGCTGCTGGGCTGGGACTGCTGTGTTCAAGGGGTTAGGGAAGCCCTAAACCCCAAACCCTGAAACCCCAAACCCCTAAACCCTAAACCCTATACCTTGAACCCTAACCCTAAACCCTATACCTTGAACCCTAACCCTAAGCCCTAAACCCTGAACCCTAAACCCTGAACCCAAAACCCTAAACTGTAAACCCTGAACCTATAGTTAGGTCCGTCGGATGCCGGCTTTGCGGGTTGGGACTTAAGGGCTTTGCGAGTTTTGATCGACGCAGGGTCTTCGAGCAGCGAGATAGGGTTTAGGGTTTAGGGTTTAGGGTTTAGGGTTTAGGGTTTAGGTGTCGGGCTGGAGACTTTCTGTTGTGGTCGGGCCTCTCTAAACCCAAAACCCTAAGGTCGAAAACCCCAAGCTGGATAAAACCCTGGGAAGTTCATGCTATCAGACGGTGGTCTGGGATGCTGAACCCTTAACTCTAAACCCTTAACCCTAAATACCCAAACTCTAAACCCTGAACCCTCAACCCAAACGGCCCAAATCCTGAACCCTAAACCCTGAACCCGAAAACCCTGAACCCTAAACCCTAAACCCTAAATTCTAACCCCTAAACCCTGAACCCTAAACCCTAAACCCTAAACCCTAATCCCTAAACCCCAAGCCCCAAAGCCCCAAAGCAGGGCCTGGCCCGATGGCTTACCAGAGAGCAGCCCATCACGCTGGCCGTCAACGGCGACGAGACGTCCGGCGGCTGGGCTGGCGGTTGAGGGTTTAGGGCTTAGGGTTTAGGTGTCAGGATTTAGGGCTTAGGGCTTAGGGTTTAGGGTTTAGGGTTCAGGGTTTAGGGTTTGGGTTTTTTTTGAGGGGGTTCTTCATGTTTTGTGTATAGGATTCGGGACCTGGGGTTTAGGAATTGAAGTTGACGTGTTGGGGGTTTAAGGTATTGGGCTCAGGGTTTGGGCTTATTTTGGTTAGGAATTTTGACGTTGTGAGGGTTGAGTTGAGTGGCGGCCATCGAAACTGGAGGGTGGATACCCCTTGAATTGACCCGGAACAGTCGCAAAGGTAGTTCTCCAAACTCGGGTCCCTTTTTTAGGTCCCCCAAAATGTTACGGCACCCTTATAAACAGGCCCTAAAAGGGACCCTGATTTAGAAAACTACCCATAAGGCTCTTCCAGCAAACCTCGAGTGCTTGAGCCCTTGACTTCAAGCCCGAACGCCCAAGGCCAAAGCCCTAATGTAGGGGCCTAAATAATTGCCAATACTATTTTGAAAGTAGCATTATAACTATAGTATATGGGGCCCAAAGCCCTATTCTAAGTATTCAGGCCCCTATATTAAGCCGCAAACACTAAACCCTGAGCCCTGAACCTGAAAATCACCCTTTCCCTCAAAGCTCAAGCCCTCGATTCGCCCTTCCTTTTCCGAGATCCCATCCACGCTCCGAAACTTCTGAGCATGAGGCAAGCCCTAGACACGAAACCCTAAACCCTTTCGTTACGCTTCGTACCAGGCACGAAAAGGTGTCCTTAAAAACGCCCTAAACCCTAAGCCCCCCCAAACAACAACCCTAAACCCGAAACCCGAACGACGAACGCCAAAGGCTTCTCCATGATGAAGCAGCTCTTTGAGTCCACGGCCCAGGCTGCTTGATTCTGCTTCAGAGTTCCCTTGGTTCGGGGTTTTTGGTGTTTCGGATTCTAGCCCTAAGCCCTAAACCCTAAACCCTAAACCCTAAACCCTGCACCCTAAACCCTAAACCCTAAACCCTAAACCCTGAACCCTAAATAACCCTAAACCCTAAACCCTGCACCCTAAATAACCCTA